GCGTGCCTCACAGGGAATCCATTGTGTCAGCCCTGCCACTCCCAATAACACATCCATGGGAAGTTCACATAACCTCATTTCCCTCTGTTAATGTTACTGAGCTAAGCCCAAGACAGGAGTATTCTTAGAAGATATATGGCTTCCTCTTACTCAGAGTTGGCCTCCACTGAAGAAACAGGGCCCCTGGGGTCAAAGCAAGACACTCATGAACTCTGGCCACTGTAAGACAAACAATGGAAACCTTATTCTAAATTTAGTTTCCAAGCAAAGGTTTTTTTTTTTTTTCTGGTGACCTCATCCCCCTGTAGCAATCACATTGTCCCAGTCATCCTTCAGCAACTCACCCCTGGTACTAGGAGGTTCCATTCTGCCTCTTGTTTCTTGTTTTCTTCCAAATGAATTTCTCCATTCAGAGTTTTCCTCTGATTCCACATTTTCTCCATAATTCCTCCCCATTGCAAAAAATACATACAATTCCCTTCCTCTTACGTCTTGACAACCACTAGGCTGGAAAGAGAGTTCATGATTGGCAGACAGAGAAATAGTCCCCATGTGGCATCTGCCATGGCTTGAATCTTCTCTCTGAAACTCATGTTGAAACGTCATACTCAAATTCCTATGTTGATAGTCTTTTCAGGTAGAGCCTTTGGGAGGTAATTAAATGAGATAAAGTCATCAGAGTAGGGTTCCCATGATGAGACGGCTGGCTTTATAAGAAGAAGAGAGATACGGGGCTGATAGTCCCTTGCCACCTCACCACATGACAACTTCTGCCATGTTCTAACGCAGCAAGAAGGCTCTCACTAGATGTCAGTGCCATTCTCTTGACTTCCCAGCCTCTGGAACTGGCAAGTCAACTCACCTTCCACTGTTTATAAATTATGCAATCTCAGCCACAGCAACAGAAAGCACACTGACAGTGTCCTGTTGAGCTCTCATCCCAAGCATGATCTAATAGCAAAAACAATCTGGAGTCTTTCTCATGCTGAGGAAATCACCGACCTGTGGTGACACTTATCTGGAAGAAGCTATTGTATTGCACGTATGCCCAGAGCCTCAAGCCGCCCACATAATTTGACTGGGGTAGAAGTTCCCACAAGAAGTGCACTACACTAAATTTTCTCTTCAATGAAGTCACTGCTATACCACCTAGAAGGCCCCACTTGTGATGTGTGGAAAGTTCTCCATTAAGAAAATTGGAAAAGAGAGAAGGATTGTGCAGAGGTGTGGAAAAGAAGGGGAAGATGGTTTCCATGGAGACCCAACCATCCTCTTGTTCTCCTCTGCTGATGGTCTGCAATAGCAGGCTCTGAGAGGCATTGGATCAAGGCCAATGCTGCTCATGAGCCCCTGGGATACTAGACCACCAGCCCTCTCTCACCAAGGAAAGTCCTTTACATCATCTCTAAAGAACACTAGGTAGGCTTTGCATACACAGCACCATCTTCCAATGGCACCAACACAGCCAGTTTTTTTTCCTCTCTTGGAACACATCTCTGTTTCCTTTCTTGAGCAAAAGATGAAGTCATTGGCATACATTTAGGAGCCATGTTGTGTGAAAAACATGATGTGTGTAAGTTGAACGTGACTGTGGTGTGTCTCCACCATAATGCAAAACAGTACAGGGAGCCTGCTCTCTCCTGGTTCCTGAGAGTTTGGGAAGAATATTTGTGGTATTCTAAATCTGATATAGCCATAAGGTCAGTGGACAGGCAGGGCTGTACTTCTTCCTGCCCCAAGGAAACGCCTGGTATTCATTTTGCATTATTATTTTTTTTTAATTTCAAAGATCTGCTGGTTTTCTCGTGGTTCTTTCTTTCTTACCCGGATGACTTCCCACTCTATTTATGTGCAAGAACAGGTCAACCTTTGAGGACCTGGTCAAGGCTTGGATTTCCCTTGCACCTTTGTCACTTCCTATAAAAGCACTCGCTATCACAGAGGAGGAAATCTGGAGGATAGGACAAAGAGAGCTCACGGAGGTTTCCAGTGATGTTTACTCAGACTTCACATGAAAACATTCTCTCCTGCCTCCACTTCTCACTATTTTCAATTGAAGGCTGACTAGAGTGAGAACAAAGGTGTCATGATCAATCTACGACTCTCCCCCTACACACACATAAAATTTGGAGAGGGATAATATAGGTTAGAGGGGAAAAAAATGTATACAGGCACAATAAAATATCATGGTTTCTTAGCACATGTTCATTGAACTGCATCAGATGAAATTAGATGAATTTTAAAAACGTAAATAAGTACCATAAATATTTGTCTTTTACCAATAGGATAAAAAGTAAACATTTGTTTGGCTAGGTATGGCGGTACATATCTGTAATCCCAGATCCTCGGGAGGCTGATGTAAGATCACAAGTTCAAGGCCAGCCTGAGCAACTTAGCAAGAGCCTGTCTCAAAAAAATAGAAAAGGCTGGGAATGTAGCACAGAGGTAGAGTGCCCCTGAGTTCAATATTCATTACCACACAAAAAAGCAGAATTTTGTTTAATTCTTCCTGTCATTTTGCAATATTTTCAAATATTAACAGAATACTTATATATATATATTACGTATGTATAATATATATATATATATATATATATATATATATATATATTCCTGCACATATTTTGCATAGGATAAAGTGGTATTGGTTGAAAACTCAGAAGGTCAAGGGCTAAATATTTTCTATCATGTGAAACTAGAAAGGAAAAAGGAAAAGAAATGTGGTAGGGAATCTCATGAAAATCCAAGGGAGATCAGTAGAATAGAGAACAGGGACCACAGGGAACAAGAAAGAGAAGGAAAAGAGAAATACTGGGGAATAATACTGGCCAAGTTGTATCATTATATTGTGTGCTTGTATGAATTTCATCATTATGAAAACAAATTTCAACAAATTTCATCATTATGTACAACTATAATTCACCAATAAAAATGTGGAAAAAATCTAAAAAGTTAAAAAGATAATAAAGGATTGTCACAATTCTTTGATCCATTCTAAGATTGATATAATTATTGGATCTAGAAGTATAACTACAGATGGGTGACAAAATCAAAACCATAGGTTGGGACAATTTTTCTCAGTGCAAATCCTGTTTTTAATCAAGATTTGGGATATTATTTTAGGAAAATTCCAACCAAGAGAGAATGAAATAAAAAACAGATGAGTGACACAATTAAAGAGCTATGGGAAAGCAAAGAAGGAGGTGGCCATGTTTGCGGGAAAGTTCCAAAAACACCTTCACAGAGAAGACAAGAGGGGGCATGGGATCCATGTGGTACCCAAGAGCCTTCTGTGGTACCAAGAGCTTAGCTCCACAATTAGTAGACTCAACAAGCAATTGCTGAATTTAGTGTAAAAAAAAAAAAAAAAGAGATAAGAGACAAAGTTGTGATCTTGGAAAATATCCATATTTGGAAAGCAGGAAGAAGAAAGGGAAGAAATAAGAAAATGTTTAAAATGTAAAGGAAGAAAGAAATATTTGCAAAGTGTAAATGCATGTCCAAGAGAGCTTGGTAGACAGTCTTCTCCTGCTCCTTCTGAGTACTACTCAAAGTGCCATCCTCAGACCAGCTGGAAACTTGCTAGAATACAAATTCTTGGGCCCATCCTAGACCTGCTGAATCAGAATACCTTGGGGTGGGGACCCAGAAGTCTTTGTTTCACAAGCTCTCAAAGTGACATTTATGCCTTTGTAGCTTCAGAAACCATATCACAGCACATCTCTTGGAGATGAGGTGCTGCTGACCCAGGTACAGTTTCTGATTCTTAGAAGGTTTCAAAAGTTTGGTTTAGGGTCTTCCTAAAATTAAGTTGAAGAGGCACTATTACATTAAATTGCTAAAGTTTAAACTACTCAAGGCAAATAGTTTATTCAATGCTTAATCTTAAATATTTTTATGATGCCTCACTTCTGTTAGAGTGAGAAGGAAAAAACAACACTAACCTTCTCAGGTAACCAAACCTGAAACATCACTCAGATTTGTTTATTAGCCAACTCAACTTCCATCAGTTACTGTCTCAAAGGGTAATTACAAAACAGCTTGTATTGAACAAAAAATCAAAATACTACATCTCTAAATTTATGGGATGAATATAAAGTGGTGCTTGGAGGGACTTTTATGGTGTTAAGTGATTTTAGTACAAAAGAAAACCTCCACTCAGAAGTTTGAGTTTCCACTATAAGGACATAGAAAAAGAAAAGCAAAAGAAATTCAAATAAAGTAGAAGGAAGAAGGATACAATAAAGAGCAGAAAATATAAGTGGAATTTATAGAATAAAATAAGAATTCAATGAAACAAAAAATAGGTTCTTTGGAAGAGTCAATAAATTTGATAAACTTTTAGCCTATTTAACAAAGAAAAAGGGAGGAAGGAACACAAATTACTACTATTAGGAATAAGAGGGGACATATAATTACAGATTCCAAAGATATTAAAAAAGAATTCTGCAAAAACTCTATAGACATAAGTGGAATCATTTAGATAAGCAATTTCTTCAAAGTCACAAACTATAAAAAGTCACCCAAGAAGAAAGTGGTAGTATGAATAGATCTATAGAAACTGAATTCATATTTTAAAATTTTAACAAAAGAAATACTCACTCAGATGGCATCATTATTAGTTCTGCCAAAACTTTAAGGATGAAATGATACCAATCCTATACAATCTCTTGGTGAAAATTGGAGAAATGATTTCCCAAGTCGTTCTTTCATGTCATCAATACCTTGATTTAAAAAATTACACAAAAATAGTAAAGAAAAAGACAACTGCAGGAGAATCTCTCTCAGAAAATACCAGCAAATCATCTCCAACAATATATTCAAAGACTAATGCATCATAACTAACTGGAATATTTTCTCAGAATCCAAACGTGCTTCAATATTACAATGCCAATCAATGCGATCCATCATATTTATAGACAGAAAAGAACAATCATGTTACCATACGTATTTGTGCAGAAAAATCACCTGACACAACTCAACGTCCATTTCTAATAATAAAAACCTCAGCAAACTAGCAGAAAAAGGGAAATTTTTTAACTTTGGCTTTTCTAATATTGAAACAAAATTACGAAAATCCCCTTTCATTCTGTTGTTCAATATCTTACTAGAAGTCCTAGCCAGCATAAAGCAAGAAAAAAGAAATAAAAGATAAACAAATTACAAAGTCTTTACCAGCTTTTGATATATTATCTACACATAAAAATCCATGGATCTATCATAAAGCTGGTAATATTAATAGGGAAATTTTACAAACTTATGTGATATCTTGTTCACATAAAATAAATCAATTATAGTTCTACAGACTAGCAATCAAAAATTGGAAGCTAAGGTTAAAACAATACTCTTTAAATAACTTCCCCAAAATGAAATATTACTAAAGTGAAAATCTACAATACATGTAGAGTTTTCATGATGTAAAAAAGAATGCTAGTTAAAAAAAAAATCAAAGAAGACTAAATAGATGGGAGACATACCATGTTCATGGACTCAGTATGGTTGTCAATTCTCCACCACTGAACTAACAGATTTAATATGATATCCATCAGGTTTCATTTTGTTTACACATATAAAATATTCTAAAATTTATATTAAAAGGCAAAGAAACTGGAATTGCTAAAACAATCTTGAGAAAGAACAGAAAAAAATTAAGTTGGCAAACTCATTCTACCCAATATAAAAAAAAAAAAAACCCACAATGTTGCAAATATTGTTTGCTATGTCCTGATGCTGGGGAAACAAAGAATAAGGAATTCCTTTTGCCTTGTAGCAGCTTACAGTTTGATGCAATCTTATTTTTAGTTTCACAAACATTTTTCTATCTCTGCTCTCCAGCAGGCAAAACCAGTAACCTTGTAAAT